TTAAAGGTCTGCTTAATTAGTAATAAATTCAATATAATTTAACTGCTCGAATCTCTAATTTAATTAGAATTCAATTCAGTTAAATCTAAATATCGTAATTAATTAAAGGTTGATGGCGTAATGTTCTGCTTATAATATAACTTTTCGAATCTCTAATTGAATTAGAATTAAATTAAGTTAATTCTAAATATCTTAATGGCCAAATATTTAATTAAAGGTTGACGTAATGGCCAAACATCTATATAATTAGCAGTTATAATTTTTTTTTAATTTCCTATGTTAATTATAATTAAAATTTATTACCTGAGGTACGTTTTTTTGCTGTGGTAATTAATCCTGGCATTATTTCATTACTACTCACGGCTCTTAGGATTCCTCCGTTACCTTTCTTTAGTCCGCCTGGCACTATCTTCATCTGCCCTAGCTTTCCATCGTTACGGTTAGTATCTTCTTATGGTCTTTACATCGTTCGGTCGCTACCACTATTTCTCTCTCGTTAAGGTACGCGCATCTCCTTACGGTATCTGTCGAGACCTCTGTTTCCTATGTAACTTACCCTAGCTTCGTCCCACAATCGGCTTCTCGATTAGATCTCTTCAACTTCTATAACACCTCTTCATGCAATGAAAGTGTTGAACGCTTCAGAAACGGTTCTAAACTCTCTAAGTGACTGTCTAAGCTTTTATCCCTCTCCATCCTTGGGAAACGGTTCGCATCATCAAAAACGAACTTAAGTTTTCCTCACCTGTTCTCCTTTTGTTATTTGCACTTTGTTCTTGGATATCTACTCTTCCGACTTCAAAGGATCTCAAGTTTTAGGTACATTTATGTGCACTTTACTTAGAACATTTTTTTTATCTTGCTTTAATTCACTATGTTATGCTCTTCATCTTGTTTGGTTGCTCACAAATTCTTGCTAGGAAGAGACATCAACAGCACATTACTGAATGTTAATGTGTATGGCGTTAAACTTGATAATTGTCACATGATATAGCCCACCCATGACCCAACTGTACTTCCTGATAGAAAAAAAACAAAGAAAACGATTTCCTTCTAAAAATTATAAAGTTTTTTACTATAACGTAGTTACGTTTTTTTTTTTTTTTTTCATAGCAACAAATTATGTTATTTTCTAAATATTATAAAGTTTTTTACTATAATGTAGTTACGTTTTTTTTTTTTTCATAGCAACAAATTATGTTATTACACATCTTCAAGATACATCACTTATCAGAGCCACAAAACTTAGTCATCTGTACATAAATTCTATAGGAAATTCCATAAAATAGGTGATGATGAATGATCTTATCATGTTAAAACAAACCCAATATCAAATATTATGATACAGATAAATCATTTCACCACATAGCACCTTTATAAAGCGAAGCATGACAACACAAAGCATCAAAAAATTTCTTTCCCAGGGGCCCTAATTTTGCTTTGAGAACATCTCAGAGTGCCTCTGTTTCACCAAAAGTACCTAACTCTGTTTCACTCTTTAAGTAAATTTAAATCCCGTCCGCTGAAGATATAATCTAATTTATGTTGGTGTTGGATTTGACATAAAATTGGTGAATGTTTATACCAGGAATTGCTTAACAGAGATATTTTAATTGTTATTATAGCATTGGCCTCAAATCAATGGTTCATTTTATTGGATATGATTTGTTTTTATTTGAGATTCATTAGCTCGCTTAGAAGACGCCAAAAGAAAATATTGTTGATAAAGCTTAATCTGTAAGAGTTAATCAGACAGATTCAACTTCCATCTTCTAGAATTCATTGATTATTTTGAACTTGTTAAAAATGATAATGGAATTGAAAACTAATGTCCATGGGAGCTTCTTAAATGATTCAAGAGATATTTATTTTCCAGTAGATAATGTGGAATGTTTTTGCAACACTTGAGGAAGGATGAGAAATCATATATTGTAGAAATGGAGGAGGGTGATAATGGTTTATTGGTATTTGTGAAATAATGGTTTATTGGTATTTGTGAAATATGAAAGCAATGATGGATTATTAAATTTCCTTCAAATAGATGTTGCCATAAGCTGAGGACATTATAGCTTTGTTGGAAAAGGAAAATTTGTAACTAAATAATGTGCATTTGTAGTAAACCAGAGTCACAATCTAATGAGATTGTTAACTTATCTGGCTAATTGTCAAAAGAAGTTGAAAACATGCTAGAATGAAACAATCCTTTGGAGGGTTCAAATCCTCTCGAATTACTTTGATTATTTTTAGATAGGAGAAGTGATGCAATCCCAAAAATTCAATAAGCTTTCGATTGCTAGAAAGAAATCCATCAAATCAGAGCGCTTTGCAACCAAATTGATGTCCTGCTTTATTGTGTGGTTTCACATATTTATCTTTGCTGGTTGGTTTATCAATAATTATGAATTTGAATAATTTGTAACTATTGTTTCTCTGTCTAAAATATTTATACATTGATTATATATCTTATACAATCATGAGGTAAAAAACAATCCTTTTTTACCAAGAAATTGAGAATTCTTTAGCCTCAAGCCCAAATCACTCATCAGCTTATCATCTTCCTTAACCCCTCTTGTAATACATGCAAATCTAAAGTCACTATCACTAAAGATATTGGACGATGTGCTAAATGCTCAAAGGAAAGTGTTGACTATAGTTTGAGGTAACGTATTTTTATAATTTTGTTCAAATTTAATTAAATAATATAGTTCTTACTAATATATTTTTTCATTATTTATATAGATATCTTGTCAAATTGTATGTTGAAGATGATACTTTCAATGCAATTTTGACGTTGTTTGATAATGAAGCTGAATGCATTATTGGGGTCCCCGTTACACAATTAGAAAAGATAAAGGTAGTTAAATGACTTTTAATATTTTATTAACAAATAAATATATTTAAATGTAATCTTCTTTATTGATTTATTTTTTAAAGGTGGCAGATATATCAAAATATAATAAAATTATCAAAAATTCATGCAACAAGGAGATGATCTTCATAATTAAGGCTCAAGACAAAATTTATGGCACTTGAACTCTCCGTTCTTTAATAATTCAATCCATAAAAGGAGATTCTTGTGAAATCAATCATGTTATATCAAAAAAATTAAAATTAGAGGAAATTTAAATATAATTACTCATTAAATCTGGTTTTTTCTGAATTATATTATCTTAGTTCTCATATTTTTTATGCATTGTTTTTTTTTTTGGTCTTAAATATACAGATAAGAAGGTTTAAATTTGTTTATCAACGTGCTCTTGATTCTATTTCATCTTTAAGTTCCATATGTTATTTTTGGTCTACTCTCAATTTTAGTTGTTTGTTCATTTTCATCTTTTATTGCACATTCCATGTTATGTGTTCAATAACCCCAGTATTAATTATGGGGTGAGCTACTATATTTTTTCTTATTGATTCAATTATGGTTGAATATATACTTTTAAATTGTACATTTGTTTCATTTCTATATGTAGAAGGCGATGCCTGATACAATAGAAAAATACATTCTATTCTTAATGCGAGGATTAATATTTTCTTTTCAGTCTTGTCACATTTATGTAAGTTTCATCTAGAGTTGTAGAAGATTCACTTTTAACCTCTTTACTATATCAAATTACTTTGTAAAATCTTTTATCTTTGTGGTCATACTTTACATGCATCATTTATTTTGACTTAAATATATTTATTAGAAGTTTTAAATTTATTTTTTGAAGATTTAAAATTTTATATATTTATTTTGTATTTTGTGTTTGTGTTATGTTTACCAAAATTTGCATTGATATATTTATTTTGTGATATGATGTTTGAGATAACATCATAAAAAAAAATTTAAAACTGCCTATGCCGATCCCAAGCCTGGATGAAAAAGGTTGAGGGTTTATTTGTATTACATTGTATATTGTAAGGCTTTGAAATGTCTTATTACAAACCATCAACCTATAATTTTGATCGGCTGTGAAGTTACTGCTTTTCAAATGGCTATATATTTATCAAACATGCTTAGCTTTCTTAATTTTTTCATAAGGATTTTACCTACTGCTTGATCCGTGTTCAATGAAAATTATACACCTTAATACGTTGAATCCGCTCCAAAAACTTAAGAGTAATAAGCTGCTTCATCTACTTCTTGATCTACTGCTTAAGAGTAATAAACTTAATATATAGTTATCTAACTGCTTGATCTACTTCTCCTAAGTACTTGCCTTCTCAAGAGTAATAAGCTGCTTCAGCATGTCAAAAATTTCAGGCTGGAAGCGTAGTAGACATTTTGCATTGCTATTATGCAACGGAGAAGATGATGAGAACTTTCAGAGACGAAGTTACTGGATGTTGGAAGAGTATGGGAGCACATTTCTTTCATAGCTTGTTCTAATTTGTGGTCTGTGTGCATTATATTATTAAAAAATGCTATCTTTTGATCGTCATCCACCTTTATTTTGATTAGTTGGGGCCAGCCTTATGATAATGAATTATGTCTGCTTTGTTTCTTTTGCTTCTTCTAATGCATTATCGATCATTTAGATTGTAAGCGACTTGATTCCCCTTTTTATGATTAGATGAGCTGTGGATTTTTTTTCCTTGTTGCAGGTTTTTAATTGTAGATAGATACTTAGTTAACAGTTATTTTCATACAGCAATTTAGTAAAATCATACTTCTACTTAGTATGATTAAAATAAGTAGCTATTATAATTACTAATGAAAATAAATTTAATTTATTTTTCAAAATTGATAATGTTATTAAATTTTAATAATATGAATATTTAACAAATTTATAGGCTGATATGCAATATAATTAAACTATTATGAATTAAATATAATTAAATTAAAATTTTAATATTTTTTAAATATTATTTTAAAAAAAAATTATATGCATATCATTAAATTTTTATGTTTTTATATATTTAACACATAAAATTTTATTTTCCCAAAAAAAAACACATAAAATTTTATAATATTATATAACACTCAAAATGTACCCTTCAAAAATGATGCCGAAACCCGGGCGAAACCTCTCCGACTGTAGTGGCTGCCATCGAACATGGGCAGCAACGTTCAACTTCAATGCATCTACTTGCTCGAACAATGCAAGTCGGTGCTTCATCTGAAGCAAGTCCACGCCTTCGCTTCTAAGATTGGCGCCGACTCTGGCACTCTCTTCACCGGAAAACTACTCCTCGTCGCCGCCGTCACCCTCGTCAATGCTCTCGATTACGCCCTCCATTTCTTAGCCGACTTTCCCTCCCCTGACGCCTTCATGTTTAATACCGTTATCCGTGGTCTTGCTGAGTCGCCTCAACCCTACCAATCTTTCATCACGTATGCCCACATGAAGCGGCTCTCTCTATCCCCTGACAGCTTCTCCTTCGCCTTTCTCCTTAAGGCCGCCGCTAACAACAGGTCCCTATCCACCGGCTCTCAGATCCATTCCCAGTCCATTCATTACGGCCTCGATGCCCATCTTTATGTGGCAACAACGATGGTCAGTTTGTACGCCGAATGCGGCTGCATCGCTTCTGCAGAGAAGGTATTTGGCGAATTGTCTCACCCGAATGTTGTGGCGTGGAATGCTATGGTGACGGCATATTTCCGCTCGGGGGATGTAGCCGGTGCGGGTCAAGTGTTTGATCAAATGCCAGTGAGAAATATCACTACATGGAATCTTATGCTTGCGGGGTATATGAAAGGCGGCAACCTTGGGGAGGCACGAATTTTGTTTAAGGAGATGGAGCGAAAGGATCAGGTTTCCTGGAACACCATGATTGTGGGCTTTGCTAGTCATGGCTATTTTGAGGAAGCTTTTGGCTTTTTTAGGGAATTGATGAGGGAGGGGATAATGCCCAATGAGGTTAGTTTTACCGGTGCCCTGTCAGCGTGTGCACAGGTAGGAGCATTTGAATCTGGGAAGATTCTTCATGGGCTTATTGAGAAGACAGGGATGAATTTTATCATGGCTGTGTCAAATGCACTACTTGACATGTATGCGAGGTGTGGGAAGATCGATATGGCAAAGCGGGTTTTTTATTGTGATATGGAGAAGAGGAACATTGTTTCCTGGACATCAATGATTGCTGCATTGGCAATGCAAGGTCACGGCAAAGAAGCACTTGAGCTCTTTCATGAAATGTTGAAAGCAGAAATTATACCTGATTGGATCACCTTCATAGCGGTCCTCTATGCGTGCAGCCACTCGGGTTTGGTGGAACAAGGTGTTGAGCTTTTTCAAAGTATGAGTTGTGAATATGGAGTCCAGCCATCAGTAGAGCACTATGGTTGCATTGTTGACCTATATGGTAGAGCAGGTATGTTAGAGAAGGCCTACGAGTTTGCAAAACAGATGCCAATAAAGTCAAATTCCATCATTTGGCGAACCCTGCTTGGGGCTTGCAGCATCCATGGCAATGTCAGGTTGGCTGAGGATATAAAAATGAGACTTGCAGAGCTTGAACCAAATGATTCCAGTGACTACGTTTTGCTTTCAAATGTCTACGCCAAGGCTGGCAAATGGAATGATGTTATTGATGTTAGAAAGTCCATGAACGAGAAAAGCATGAGGAAAGATCCCGGATGGAGTGCAGTTGAGGTGAATAAGGTGATTTATAGCTTCATTGCTAGCGATACGAGGAGCAATGTGCAAGAAGAGGCATTGATGAAGCTTGAGGAGATCATGTCTAGGCTTCGGATGGAGGGGTATTGGCCACAGCTTGCAAATGTTTTGCATGACATTGAAGAGGAAGAGAAGGAAAATGCGATTGTGAGACACAGCGAGAAACTTGCAGTGGCATTTGGAATGGCAAGAATGTGTGAAGAGGAGGTCATAAGAATAGTGAAAAATTTACGAGTTTGCAGGGATTGTCATGATGTGATGAAGTTGATTTCGAAGGTTTTCAAGAGAGAAATATTGTTGCGGGATCGTAATCGGTTCCATTGTTTTAGGGAGGGAAACTGCTCATGTAGAGACTTTTGGTGACTGAAGAATATTGAATGAATTAAAAATCATTAAGGCAACTTCATACAACATTGGTGAAGATTTGATGTACAAAAAGAAAAGATGAAACAACAGAATTTGAATTTCTGTTTTCTTCAATGACTCGCAGTCTAATAACCTCTCGATCTTCATGAATTGCCATATGACTCAATAGGTTCATTTTTCACTTCCTTGATATTAAGGGATAATTTTAAACTGCTTTTCTAATTTATGTTGTCATTTGCTAATCCCAGGATGCTTGACATGTTGCATTAAAGGTGCGATTTGGACCAGCTTGGTTATATGTATCTTTTCAGGTATCAAAATCCATGCAAGTTTATTTTAGCATTAACAGTATTGTGCATAGTTCATGACACTAGATGAGCTTCTGACTGAAAGTAGAAAGAAAATATCGTGCATTGCATTGCACTCAATGCTTTGAAAGCACTGATTGAGAATCACTTTTCATGTCTTCTTAAGTTAATCTAATTAATATTGAATTTGAGTAAAAGGTAGTGGCCGTGATGTGCAAATGGCTAGTGAACGCAGCAGCGGTGGATGGATAAGGGTTAGCAGTTGCTGGTCAACAGCAAGTGTTGTGGTGGGGTGATGAGTTTCATGTTGATGATGGCCTTACATGGTGGACAAATATTCTGACGAAATTTCCTTTGCCTGGCCTTCATCTGCAGCTGCAGGTAATCAACATACTCCATTCCAGTGTTTGACGGCTAATCAGTTCCTATCATTAAATCTGTGAAAATAGAGCTTCCTCGTTCCATTGGTATAGAATACTTCCATCTTCGTCCTAAAATGCATCGCGTCCGCGTAGCATGTATCCATATTGATGGCGCCCCTGTCACCTGCTACCAATGGATGCGCAATAAACGAAGTGGCTCTGTTTTAAGAACTCTCCGTGTCTCTCCGAATCCGCTTTCGTCAGATTCTTTCTTTTAATCATAAAATATTATCAAAGTTGCATTCAATGAATGAAATGTTGATTCAAGCTACAATTACAAATGAAATCTGATAGATCCTCACTGATAGAAATTTAGTTGAACTCTTTATCATTTCTTAGTAATTTTAGGATTTGTTTGGGACAGTATTTGTCTTTTTTATTTTTTATTTGGTTTTTATTTTCTCAATTCTTTTGAGATATTTCAATAATGAAAGTTACTTTTTGAACTCATAGTAGCGAAATTATTTTCAATAATTTTAGAACCAATTTTCAAAAATACTACAGCGATCCTAAACAGACCCTCGGTAAAGTTTCTAAAAATCCGTTAGTTTCAATTAAAACTTTATTAAAATACTTGAATTTTGGCTGAAACTAAAAATATTAATAAGTTTCAAGTTAGGTTCCAACGAAATTGGTCTTAAACCACTAAGATTGAAAACGATGTGTGATTCTATATTTCTTATGAGCTTTGGCTTAATGTTTCATAACAAGTAGATTTTTTTTCCTCACAAGTTGTTTTGATCAAGCTTTTTAAATTCGATTTTGATTTTGATTTCAAAATTCGGTTTCTACAGACATTATCTGGCTTCGTCGACTTCTACGGGAATTTCAAATTCCATGTTCTCAACCTACAAATTACTTTGTGACAACATCTCATCTATAGCTCTTGTAAACAATCTTATTTTTCACGCCAGGATCAAGCACATTGAAATCGATTTTCACTTTGTTCGTGAATGCATTAAGAACAAGGTGCTTACTATCTCACATGTTCATACAACTGATCAACTTGCTGACTTGTTTACCAAATCCTTTTCTATTCCTCGGTTCCAATTGTTACGAGACAAGCTCAACATTTCCGAAGCAAATGTTAGCTTGCGAGGAGGTGATAAGCAAGCCGACTTTTAACAAAAAAATATGCCCTTTTTCTACATGTCCACTACTTCTCTATGGCAGAGCACACTTGTTCTGATCAAATCCACTTCGTTGTCTTGTAACAGATTAATCAACACTGTTGAAGTAGTTTTCATGTATTTTTCTTTATATATCTTGTGATGCATAGCAGCAAGGCAATGAAACAGTACCCGGAGAATTATTCCTAACACTTGTCTTCTTCAACCTCATAGTAGAATTAAGTTTCTTTGCAGCTGCAGGAAATAGCTGAAATTGATGAAAGCAGTGGAGATTCGTGTGAAGCAGTTCAACAGATGATGGCCTTACATGGTCATCATTTAGAAGTTTTTGGTGCTATTGAAAATTAAATTTTGGGTGTCAAAGAGGTAATTTGCATAGTTTGTAATTGTGTCCTGGTTGATATTTATTTTGATAATGTGGATTTTGTTCTTAAAAAAGCTTGGTTTTGATTTGGTTTTTATTAATTGTACTAATAAAATTTGGAACACTGCTGTTGCCAGGTCCCAAGTCCTGGATGAGAAAAGTGGAGGGTTGCGTTAGGTAGTCGACAGCCAGCGTAAAACTTGTCGAATAATAATGACATGAATCCTTTAAGAAATTGTGTTAATGCTAGGGCGTCCCCTGGAAGCGACGCGTTGTGTGGCCTGAATACAGTGACAAGTGTGTAAGGGCCGCTGCACCGGCACCCGGGTGCAGTGTTAAATAGGCAAGGGTTCCCACATCATGGACGGATGTGGACAAAGAAGCTAGTCCATGAAACTAAAATTATGATAGGAACTTGGAATGTAGGTTCCTTTACAGGAAAATTAATGTAATTGGTAGATAATATGATTCATAGGAAGATAAATATTTTGTGCATTCAGGAAACTAAATGGGTTGGAGAGAAGGCTAAAGACATTGATAGTTTAGGATTTAAACTTTGGTATTCGGGTAGGAGTCGTACTAGAAATGGTGTATGTGTTATTATAGATAAGAGTTTGAAGGATAATGTTATAAAAACTAATAGGATTGGAGATAGAATTATAGCTTTAAAGATTATTTTTGATGATAAGATTGTTAATATTATAAGTGTTTATGCTCCTCGAGTAGGTTTGGATATGAGTTCTAAATTAAATTTTTGGAATGACTTAGAA